CGTCAGCAAGTGAGCCTGGCGTCCTCACACCCTGCTTCTTTATTGGACACTCCGCCTATGACGACAGCCCGCACTTCCTGATTGGACAGCATTTCCACCTGTGACCAAATCAGTTCCCTGATTGGATGATCTGCCCATGACGTCAGCCAGGGCTTCGTGATTGAATACTCTGCCTATAACGTCAACTCACGGTCGCTCATTGCCTCATTGGATGCATCGCCTACCCTGTTACATCAGCTGAGTCATGTAGCAGCATCAGGGACTGTCGTCTTTAACATGGGCGACGGACAGCCTGATATTCTCCCAGTGAGGAAGCCTTGTGGGTGACTGTCGTTGTGCGATGACTGCAAACATGACACTTGTCGTTCCTTATCGTCTCTGTCATCTCAAACAGTGAGACGTAAACATAAATTCGTTGCCTGATGACCTTAAGTTTGCGCCTGTGTCCTCAAGTCCCCTCAACGGGGCGACGAAAAAAAACAAGATTTGTGTTTTGGAGAAGAGCTTGTTCTCGTTTCGTCGCTCACACGGACGACAAAAACTCTTACACCAGCATAACACAAGCTCCTCCTCCGTCGTCTCAAGACCTTTGGAATTCCTGCGATCTGAGTTAAGGAATGTTTACAAAACGTTTATTTTTCCTAAACTCACCTACACTTACCCTGCCTGGTCTTCTTCCTTAGCTGCTACCCAACAAAGCCTTCTAAGGGTATTCTCCACCTCTTACACCACATATCCAAGCACCAGTGACCCTCTGAACTCTTTCCAATCGCCATTGTAACCTCACCTGTCAGCCTGAGAGGAAGCCGTTACACCAACTTCGCCACCACCACCAGCTGCCACCTGAGATCCCCCGTCCGCGAGCTGCAGTTCAACACCACAACCGTACTAAGCCCATACGACCACGTGCTGATCTCTACAAGAACAGTCTCATTCTAACCATTGTCAATATCACACAAAATTCGTAGAAAACTTGTATTTGCACAATTTGAATATTCTCCCTTTTGTACTGTCTGTACGTTATATACAGTATGTACCACTTACGTCTCTTGTATATTTTTATCTTAAGGCTGCTGTATTTTTCTATAAACTGTGAATTATTATTATTATTATTATTATTATTATTATTATTATTATTATTATTATTATTACAAAACCAGGTCAGGGTATCATTCTGAGGCACCTGCAACATCATAGAGATGCCAGTATAAAGGGTCGACGTCTCATTAGAGCGATCCAACACCTGTCAGATGAGATCAGATCCCGTTATCCCCGAGGACCCAGCGACCGCCCTTTGCTCTTATTTCATTTATACTTTTCCCTGCCGCTGTGACGCTGATATCCACGGGGTCTAAGCTCTTCGAATATTCTATCATCCTCTTGTAGTTTTTTCTGGGCATAAGATATTACCTAATTTAATATATGTTTCGAGACTCATAAACAGCCTTATGATAAAAAATCCTCGTAATATTAAGATATAAAGATTTATGTATTAAATTGACTTAAAAGCATAAAAACAACGACCAAGTGTGTGTGTGTGTGTGTGTGTGTGTGTGTGTTGTTGTTGTTATTACTTATCATTATCTATAATTAATGAGTTAATCTCAGGTTTTATTTCACTGGAAGGTATCGAAGCTTCTGAACGAGTCGTGAAATAGCTGGATGAATCATTAAGCTGTTGGATGAGTCATGAACCACCTGGATGAGCCGTGAAGTAGCTGGATGAATCATTAAGCTGTTGGATGAGTCATGAACCACCTGGATGAGCCGTGAAGTAGCTGGATGAATCATTAAGCTGTTGGATGAGTCATGAACCACCTGGATGAGCCCTGAAGTAGCTGGATGAATCATCAAGCTGTTGGATGAGTCATGAACCACCTGGATGAGCCGTGAAGTAGCTGGATGAATCATTAAGCTGTTGGATGAGTCATGAACCACCTGGATGAGCCGTGAAGCAACTGGATGAGCCGTGAAGCAACTGGATGAATCATTAAGCTGTTGGATAAGTCATGAACCACCTGGATGAGCCATGAAGCAACTGGACAAACGAACCAACGACCTCCTTCCACTACAAGAAC